GTTTTTCAATCTTCTTAATCTTATTTGAATGGATTTTGTCCAGAAATGATACCTTACATAACCAGGAAATTATATAACCTTTTAACCAGGCTGATTTTTCTTTCTTAAGTTTATTTATTTTGAGAGAGAGAGAGAGATGGGAAGAGGGGCAGAGAGTGAGAGAGAGAGAGAATCCCAAGCAGGCTCTGCATTGCCAGTGCAGACCCCAGTGCAAGGCTCGAACACACGAACCATGAGATCATGACCTGAGCCTAAATCAAGAGTCAGACACTTAATCAGCTGTGAGCTACCCAGGCACCTCCCCCCCACCACGCCCCTGCTGGGCTTAACAGCAGATCCTTAAAAAAAAAAAAAAACAACCAGCACCTCAAACCAAAAGATGGTACTAGAACTCATATTCTATATTTCTATTCAAGTACTGGAATTGTAGAACAGATTTGGTTCTGAAATGGCCAGCACCATGGCACAGACATTTCTTGAGTGGATGTGTCCTTCTCACAGAAGCTGCAGAATCAGCACAGATGCGGTGGCGGGGGGGAGGGGAGCGCTCCTACCGCGTGTGGTCCACAGGGCTCTGGGCCCACCTGGGTTAGTGCTGCAGCCGCGAGTGGGCAAGGGGTGTGTTGCTTCTGCATCTCTGTGTTTAGAGACCAGCGACCTCTCAGAACTTGAACTGGCTTGATAGCACTTGACACTCCCCGTCCCCTCCCCTCCCAGAGTCTACACAGTAGCAGATTTTTTTTTCCTGCCTGAAGTCTGGGGGTCAAAACAGTGTGGTTCTTGCTCAAGACAAGAGGCTAGAAATGAGCTGTGGGACCTGAGCTGGGTCTGTTCTTGGACCCACTGTGAAAGGCTGCCCTTCCTTTGTGCCTCAGACAACACGCTCCCCATTCTTGGGATGGGGCCGCTGGAGGCTAGGACTTTCACTCGTACTTGAGATGATTTCTGAAGGTGCTGAGCTGATATTAGAAAGATTTAAGTTAACCTGGTGAGAAAGTTACTCCTCTTTCAGTTTTCCTTCATTCTTGGTTGTAAGGTGTGGAGAAAGGCTCCATCAGGGGCTGGAATATCCTCTACGCTCAACCCTTGTTAATTCCCCCCTTCGGAACTAACATCAGGCCTCAGGAGCACCTGCCTCGGCCAGAAGTAAGGAACCCTGTTAGATTTTCATTGTATTTAGTTTAATGGTTCCCTTCTCCCTATAGCAGACACTGTTGGTTTTCCATTTACCATAGGGATACGTTTCCTTTTTAAATGTTGAGTGTTAAAAAGTGAATGATTTTTTTAATTTTTATTCTATGATTTTTTTTTAATGTTTGTTTATTTTCGAGAGAGAGAGAGACAGACAGACAGACAGAGGATCTGAAGCAGACTCCAGGCTCTGAGCTGTCAGCACAGAACCCAATGCAGGGCTCGAACTCCCAAATCATGAGCTCATGACCTGAGCCAAAGTCAGATGCTTAACCGACTCAGCCACCCAGGCGCCTTTATGATTTTTTTTTTAATGTGAATAATATACTGAGTCCTCAAGAGATGCCAGTGATGCGGGTCGAGGGGCCACCCTCTGAGAAACACTGCCAGGTGCATTGAAGGGCTTCCTATAATATTCACCTGAGAAGCTTCAAAGATGCTTCTGGGCCTCAGCCTGGACCAGTTAAATGGGACTCTGGCGGGGGGGGGGGGGGGGGGGGGGGGGGGGGGGGGGGGGGGGGGGCGGCAGGCATCAAGTACATGACTGTAACATCGCAGCTGAGGTGTTAAAGGGCCACCCCGGGGTACCTAGCCACCACCATCCACACCTGTGCAGGGGGTGGTCGGGGAGGGCAGCGTCCTCACCACCCTCTGACCTTGCAAACTGATTGCATCTTTTTCCTTCTCTCTCCTGCCTCTTGCCCTCACATCCACTACCTCCCTCATTTTGCTCTTCTTTTCTCTTCCCTAACTTCCCCACACCTCCTCCTCCAGCCCTGCTTCTTAGGTTAAGACCTTACTGGCACCACGCGCTTGCAAGCGCATTAGAAAATCTCCACATCATTCTGTCCTTCACAGCATTTGCTTTGCCAGTTCGTAAGTTGTCAGTCCAGTTTCTGAAGATCTTAAGGCTTTTAGGGTTGTGCTCTCTGCCAGCAACTTGCATTAACAACGATGATGATAGTCATTATTGGGCTCTTACTGTGTACCTATCACTGTTCTAAGCACTCTGCATAATCTTCCCTGGGGCTGGATGGGGGGGTACCTTGCTCCAGATGAAGAAACTGAGGCACCGAGACGCTAAATATCTGGCCCAGGGTTATACAACCACCAAGTGGCAGAGCCAGGATTCGAAGACACAGGCAGCCTGTCCCCGGAGCCCACATTGTGAGCTGACAGGGACCCCAGGTCAGTTACTCCCAGTCCTGACTCGGGCGCCCCGGCGTGTGGTGAGTCAGCCGCACGTCAGGCAGGCTACTCTCCACTGCAGTGGGAAATTGAAACTTGGACCCACTGTCCTTCAGTGACATTTGGAATTGATAACTCTCTTTATTTTCCACTTCAATCATAGAATCTCAGTAGGAAGCCCACAGTTTTAAATCCCATTAAGACTGTAACTCATCACCATTCAGAAGAGATCCACCTGAAATGATGTTGTGTGGGCTGCCTGTCAGGACGAGGAACTGCAGATGAAAACGGCCGCGCCCATAATCGTCCTGGGACTGGCAATACTCTGAGCAGCCTCTGTGGTTCCTCATTAGTTGAACTGAGATGTAGCCTCAGTGTTAGACATTCCAGGGCTCTAGCTGCCTTTTCAAAAGTATCTGATTCTCATTCCAGTGCTTAATTGAAGAGAGACCTTTGGCCCCTTCTCATTCCTTGTGGGAGAGCTCTATTTTTACGCTCAAACTTGTGCATCTCTTGTGGTCCTTGGGTTGCTGTTTTGGGAGACTGGGTCTTCTGCATTGCACTAAAAAAACCTTCTGTGTGAGCTTGAGGGGATTCTCAGGCAGTCAGATCCTCTGGAGACCCTCTGCCCCACTGAAGATTTTGAAATTGTGGGCAGTGGGGACCAGTCATGGTAAACACTCCCATCACGGTGTCTTTTTTCCCCTCCATTTTCCAAACCACTAACCGTATAAAGCACGGTGTATACGTTATTTCATGCACTTCCCCCACCAAGCCCGTACCACTGGGAGTGAGCCCCTTTTCATTTTTCTAGGTGAAGAAGCAGAGGCTCAGGAACTTAGGCTTCCCGGTGCTTGGGAGCCCACGAAGGAGGCAGGATTTGAAAGCACGTCTGCTGAGCAGGCTTGCTTATATGTTCTGTCTACCCCAGTTGGATAAAGTTAGATATCATCTTATGGGGAGGAGGAATGCTTGGAAAGCGTAAGTGAATATGAGGAACATAGGCCTGACTTCTCTGGGGCTAGTAGATCTGAGCCAGCCCCTCCCCCCTCAGACCTTTTGAATATGGTCCTGTTGGTCACCTGCCTGTGCTAAGGCTTCCAGATGTAAGGCTATTGGCCAGCAGGCTCGGGCACTGGGTGTGTCCCCAGACTGGTAACAGGCAATACTGGTCTGTGACTTCTCTTAGGGCAATGTCCAGGGACCCAACATCTTTAGCATGCCCTGTCCTCTGCTCTGTCTCTGCCCACTGCTAACTCCAGCACCTTCTTCCAAAATTCTTCTAAGGACTTGCTTTAACAGACAAGCTAACCTGATCATCAGTAGTAGGTTGAGAACAGTATTTCCCCAACACTCCTTGTGCGTCAGAATCAGGAAGCTTAGTGAACTGCACCTGCCCCTAGATCCGTGATGCCGATGCTGCCGGTCCGGGGGCCACACTGGGAGAGCCACTGGGCTCCAGAGCCCAGTCCCAGTTCAGATGTGTCCTCATGGTGTCTGGCTAATTGGGGACCCTGATGCTGGGAAGTTTCAGCCGTGTTGGGGAAGATGCCTTTGGAAGATGGTGAGGAAGACATTTGGGGTAGGCAAGCTCAGGCTTTTGTCCCTTCATGTCTAGCGAGAGATAACGGCCTACCTCATTTATATGCAGTGGCTTCGCCCGTTCCCACAGAGGTAATAAAACCCCGCAAGCCACATCTCCGAGCGTGCCCTCCTCTGTGCATGAAATGGCCTTTCCTCCTCATTATTTCGGATTCCCATAGGAGTGCTTCTCAGTCAAGGATATGCATTGGAATCATCTGGGGGTCTTGTTAAAATGAGAATTCTGAATTGGGAATTCTGGGGTGGGGCCCGAGTGACAGATTCCACACACCCGATGGGCACACAGGCAGTGTCCCAGGTGCTGCTGGGCTGTGGACATGCTGTGCACGTCGCAGAACAAGGCAGGGTACACGTGGGGCACCTATTCTGTATTACAGCTGCTCACACCCGAGCTCTCGCCCCTGCTGCACAAGGGGTCACCTGGGGAGCTTTGCAGAACGTGGGCCACACCCCTCAGAGCCCCTGGTTTCGTTGTGAGCACTGGAATTTTTGAATCCCCTTCCCAAGAGATTCCAACGTACGCCCAGGTGGGAAATCACCAGCCTTCATGGAGAAAAGAGATGAATTCTTGTAGAAACTCAAGAAACAAGTGCCATCGGCTGGGTTGGCTGCTTGCATGGGGGCAGGGCACGCACCCGTTCTGGAGAAGGGCTGCAAACAGCACTGGGGGTCTTATTTAAGCACAGAGTCCGTTTCAACAGCTTTGGGGAGCGACCCAGGCTGCTGCATTTCTAAGACGAGGTGCGCAGGGGTCACGACTGCTGTTGGTCCGGGCTGATACGGAGTCTCAGGGCATGACCACAGGGCCTGTGTGATGCCCATTATCTCTGGCACCAATGACAGCAGGTCGCTTTTCTCATATTGAGGATCAAAGGCTTTGGGTCCTCCCCTCCTCTCCCTTTAAGCACCATCTGGACGTCTCCGTCACTCAGCTTGGTCTTGACACAGGACACAGGGCAATACAGGTCAGTTCTCTTTTAATAACATTTGATGTTTTTTTTTTCCTTTTCTCTTCACAGTACGAGATGCAAAAAATCTAATTCCGATGGATCCAAACGGGCTTTCAGATCCTTACGTGAAGCTGAAACTCATCCCTGATCCCAAGAATGAAAGCAAGCAGAAAACCAAAACCATCCGCTCCACGCTGAACCCTCAGTGGAATGAGTCCTTCACGTTGTAGGTGTTGTCTTTTCTTCTTGATTGCATTGTCTCCCCACACATCACACAACTGCCCACCTCGCTGTGAGAGGTGACGAGGTGGGCCTATTGTAAATGCCTTTAAACAGCACTCCGTTACTAAGACTATCTCAGACCACTGCTAAGAGGCAATGCTCTCACCCCTGTTTGGTGGCTGGTGATTTGGTTTACCAGGGATTATGTAATGCAGGCCCCAAATTAGCATCGGTGCCCAACCTGTACCAAAAATACTTTTAGGTTAAAGATGGTGTATAAAAGTATAAAGTGTGTTCCACCTCTTGATGGACCTGAGTTCTTTGGAGGGTTAGGGGAAGGGAAGAATTTAAATAATAGTTGTTAAAACCTGAAATACGGGAGTCACATGCTCTCACCCCTGAAACGGAAAATTCATCCTCACCTTTCAAGAGGAAAGACTTCTTGGAGGAGGTGACGTTTAACATGGGGTTTAAATGAGTGCCAGGATTTCAGAGGCAGGGATGGTAGAAGAGAAAGAAGGGAGGAGGCAGTGGGAGGAGGCATAAGACCATAAGGTAAGAGAAAGCACTGCCTACAGCCGAGCACAAGCAGGTGGTAGTCCTAATAAACCTGGACACCGGTCGTGTGGACGACCACAAAGGGAGCTCTTTTGTGTAGAAGAGAGGTTGGCAAGCTTTGCCCTATAAAGGGCCAGATAGTGAATATTTTAGAATTCATGGGTCATTCAGTCTCCATGGCAGCCCCATAGCTCTGCTATTCTCGAATCAAAAGCATTCATAGACAGTAGGTACACAAATGGTCATGGCTGTTTTCCAATAAAACTTTATTTACAAAAACAAGCCACGGGCCAGATTTGGCCCGTGGGCCCTACTTTGCTAGCTGCTAAGTCTGGAGCTTAGGCTGCCAGAGCCTGGTACCCTGATGGCAGTGGGGAGCCACAGGAAGAAAATTGAACATACTATTGTTTTTTGAATGTCAGATGCCTATCACAAGCACGTGGTGTCTCCCAGGAAATCATGGTCTAAATAACCTTGTGCATGTGCACCTGCACTCTTTCGTAGCAAATTGAAACCTTCTGACAAAGACCGACGGCTGTCCGTAGAAATCTGGGACTGGGATCGAACCACAAGGAATGATTTCATGGGATCCCTTTCCTTTGGAGTCTCGGAGCTGATGAAGATGCCAGCCAGTGGATGGTAAGTATGCCCAAGGTTGAACATGTCCGTGTCAACGAAAGGTTAATAGTCTCCAAACGCTAGAGCCCTTAGAGATTCAGAAGACGCACTGACTTTGGTCTGAAATGACCACTGACTGCGAGGTTATCTGGCTATAGTCTCCCCACAGGATGCATTTCAGAAACAGCCGGTCTAGAGGTTGAAGGAGAGATGTTGCTGAACCCATAGCAGCCCAAATGCCACATTCCTAACTCTCCTTCCCTCCGTGTCTCCCAAAGGTACAAGTTGCTTAACCAAGAAGAAGGTGAGTACTACAACGTACCCATTCCAGAAGGAGATGAAGAAGGAAACATGGAGCTCAGGCAGAAATTCGAGGTAAGGATATCAGCGAGATGGCAGGAACCGCCTTTCCTTGGGAAAGCTTGACCTCAGGCAGGGCCAGGGTTTTGTGGTCGCACTGCTGGAAGACAGAAGGCAACTTAGGTGTTCGTCTTTTTCCATATTTAAGAACAGAAATGCCGCCTAATCATCTTCCTTTGCAAGCTGTGTTCACATTCTAGGCCTGTTAGCATTTTAGAGAACGGAGACCAGAGCTAGCCCAGAAATAAGCACAGGTGATTTCTGCATAAGAAAGTGGTTGGCACGTCCGTGGGGAGACAGGCAAGGTTCCAGGTGCGGTGTTCTCCCTGGAAAGAAGGGCTGTGCTGCTCCAAATGGCAGGGGCCACTCTGGCACTGACTCGGGAGGTGGTTTGGGTGTGTGACTGGGCTATCAGGCCAGCATCTTCCTTCTTGCTCCAGACCTTTAGAAGAGGCCAGCTCGTTGTCTCCTCCCCACTGAGTGTCTGGATTTGCCTTCTGTCCCGGATCATCTGTCTTCTCTCCCTGTCCTGCTCTGCCCCCCGCCCTCCTCCCTTCCCTCTTTTTCTCCTCTCTATCCACACTTCTCTTTACTTTCCGGACATCTCCGTTCTTAACGACCGTTCTTTCCTCTAAGCACCTGCCTTACCTTCCCGGTCACAGCTTTTAATCTTTTCGGTTTCCTCTGATCGTGATCACCTGCATTTTGGCTCTTGGAGGCGTTCATACAGTAGCCATACCAGTCTGTGTAGCTGGTTCATTTCTTTTTGAATCTTTCTCTTCTTGAGGCTAATTAGGATTCCCAGAATTCCCGTACGCCGAAGACACACACACACACACACACACACACACACACGTACAGAAGCTTGAACTGTTGCTGAAAATACTGACACTAATGAGGTGCTGATGGTCTTATTTTCCTCCCTCTGTTGTGTCCTTCCCTTAAACAAAAGTTTGTCGTAGAGAAACACGTAGGTCATGTGGAGGTAGAATGAATCCCTAAGGCCATAAAACAAAAATGTTCTAAGTGCTTCTGTTACGCTGGTACGTGGCTGAATTGGATGTTGACGGCAAATGCTTAAAGTCAAGGCCGCGCTCGGATGCCCTCAGAAGAGGAAAGGAGCCGCACATGATAGAAGTCAATGGCAAGGGACAGCAGGCCTCGGGACTGGCAACAGTAGGGTGGGGACTGGGTGGGGACTGGGCGAAGCGGGTGGGCACAGGCCCTGTATGAAGGCGGCAGCTGCTGTTACTCGGCACCCGCTGATGACTGCCTCACACAGATGCGGGGCCCGTGACGCCAGGTCTCCCAGTTCCTCAAGAGAAGCCAAGAGTCCAGAGGTTTTGACACATCTTCTGACTCCTTTTAATATTGGCAGCTCATTAAAACTCAGAGCGTGGTGTAGGTCACACACGCATCTGTTGGTATAAACACAGGCAAAATTGAGCCAGTAGAAATCAGCTTGTCTCTGCTCCTAAAAAATATAGGGGGAAATATATACATGTTTATAAATATAATAATATATTATAATTAATTTATGATATGTAAATATTTTATGTCTGTATCTATATTTTTATTTATAATGAATTTCTTTGCAAAGGGACCTTGTAATATTTAGAGGCATTCAAGTCCAGAGATGGGGTAAGGCTGGGGGTAGTAGCTTCAACTATCCATGCCAGGCATAGATAGTTTTTTCTATTTATTTTTTCCTTCACTTGTTTCATCAACTACTCCCACCTCTACCACCCCCCCCACCCCCCGCCCAGCTGAGGACAGGAGCCCCATCCCCAACCTCACACCACCTCCGTGAGGGCTGAATCTTTCCAGAGAGTTTTGGGCCGCCGAGTGCTGGCACTGCTCATATGTCCCAGGCAGGGAAAGAGCCGAGAAGCTCACCAGAGCCTTGCTGAAATTCAAGCCGTAGTTGTGGATCATTAGCAGCCATTGGGTCAGGGTCTGCTGGTGCAGAGCCGAGTTGAGAGCAGAATGGTCCTGGGGCATCATGATGGTGTCACTCTTGGAAGCATCTGAGACTTGGCTTTGCTGATGGAGAAATATTGACCCACTTTTTTAGGCTTCATTTCTTTGGCTTCCTGGTGAGTAACCTTCCTGTTTTTCTGGGCAGTGAGTCTAGCTTTTTATAAAGGTCAGAGTTCCAAACTCAAAAAGCACAAGGGGGCAGGTCAGAGGGCTTGAGGCTGGAATTGCATTTCTCTCTAGAGGCTGGTTAGAGGCCACATGTGTCATGCTGGTCGCTCTTCTCCCCCCTGGCAATGCTCTTTGCACTGGAGCTCTGCTAGCCCAAGGCCAAGTGCAGCAGAGGGGTCGAGCCTCTGCTGTCCAGCTTACATTACAGACTACTGTGCTCAGAGCACCCGCATGAGCTGCATTCTGGCTTTTTCTTTAAGCATCTTTCAACTCCCTTGGACTTTACAGGAATTATACGAGCTCATTTTACTGAGAGTTGCTGGAGACCAGGCCGAAAGCCACTAGATGTTCATGTCAAGAAGATGCTGAGAATTTTATGACAACCATTGCATTGTATTTAAAAATTTTTTAATGTTTATTTATTTTTAAGAGAGGAGAGAGACAGAGCACAAGCCAGGGATAGAGGCAGAAAGAGCGGGAGACACAGATCTGAAGCAGGGTCTAGGCTTGAGCTGGCAGCACAGAGCCTGACACAGGGCTCAAAGTCACGAACCTCGAGTTCATGACCCAAGCTGAAGTCAGACCCTCAACCCACTGAGCCACCCCGGCACCCCTGCTGTGTCGTGTTTTACATGGAATGGAGATCCAGATGTGATTTCAGACAGCAGTTGTCATGTAATGGTGTTCTGTTGAGGTGTGTCAGTGTGAGACTTGCAATATCTCCCCAGAAGCAGTGTGCCAGGGCAGAAGGGCCATGTCCACTTTAGCGGTTCTAGGTAACAGCTAGCATTCCCAAACGGGGTGCCACCTGGCACCAGGGTGCAATTTGGGGGACCTCTAATGCCCACCCCACTTCCTCCCTCTCCACCCCCCACCATGATGTGACTGCTTCCTGGCGTCTGCAGACTCCCTTCTCTGTGCACGTATCTCCATGAGCCTGTCATTCTGACTTGCCTTCCGTCATCTGAGTCCTTTTCTCCTCCACCCGCTCTTTCAGAGATACAAGATACTTTGCCACCCTCTGGTAACAGTATGATTCAGCTGAAATGTTTAATTTAAAGTTCAGCAGTGAATCATGACTGGGTGGAAGACAGCATGGTGACTAATCCTTTCAGAGCCGGCAGGATTCGGCGGTATTGTGCACCATCTCGTCCATGGTGCTGTTCTTTCCATGTCCAGCCCTGTTTTCTAGAAGGAGTTAACTAAGTGTGGTTTTCAAGCCCTCTTCCAGAAACCAAAAGCCATCCAGTCCGAGGGAGGAAAAATCCAAACAAATGAGCATTTACAGCTCTACCACCGCATTAGTATTTATCCAATAACATGAGGAAATTTTTTTCTTAATGTATCGCTGATTCTAGAATTCTGCCAAACAGTGAACAGTGAGGAAAGCTCTTAGGAGCCAAAGAAATCCCGAGATGCTTGGAAACGATCTGAATCTGTGATGCGTTGTCGCCCTCCAACACTTTATCTGCATGAAAGACAAAACAAGCCAGAACTTTGACCACAGCATTCATGGAAAGTGTATCTGTGGGTCTTTAACCTGTTTTGTGTTTGTCTTCAAATCAAGTACACATAGTTCCTGATTCGCCAACAGAAATCATATATCTGTTCATTTGTTCAATAATAAGATTCCAGCAATGAATAGAACAAACAGTGCCTCCTATCTGTAGGGTTTATCTCTGTGCCTTTGCGCCCTGCTTCAGGACTCTTTGGGAATGAGGCAGGAAGCCTACTGAGAAATAAGCATGTTAGAACCCCAGTGACTTCCCAGGACCTCTCTCACTGTTGAGAAGATCCAAGATTCCTGTTCCTTCCTCCCTTCTGGGTCCCCACTCCCTGCACTGAGGCTCATGGCCAGTGTAAGAGAAAGGGTCCGCCTTCCCTTCGAGGTGGCCCAGAGGCTGGCTTAGCCCTTGCTCCGCAGACTTTCTGCAAAGGGTCACAGTAGACATTCTAGACTCTGTAGGCCTCAGGGTCTCTGTCTCACACACTCCCCTCTGCCTTTGTGCTGCATAAGCAGCCACAGAAAAGAGGGAAACAAATGGATGTGGTTGTGTTCTAGTAAAACACTGTACAGACAGGTGACAGACTAAATCTGGCCAAGGAACCATAGTTTACTAACTCCTGGTTTAGCCCACGGACTGTGAGTTAGAATCAAATCCTGGCTCTGCGCCTTATTAACCATGTGACTTCCCTGTGCGTATCCTTCACTGTGAATGAGGATAGCAGTAGTATTTGCTTACTGGTATTGTTTTAAAGATCCAATTAGGCTGTCATTAGAAAAGCCCTAAAAGCATACTTTTTATAGAAGCGTTTTATCATCATCCTCAACATGTTTTGTTATAGAAAGTGGGTTGGGGGTAGGGTGCTTTTTTTTTTTTGCTTTTTTTTTTTTAACTTCTGGAGCTTCTCTTAAAAAAAAAAGAATTTTGGTGTTGAAATCATGTTCTAAATGGTTGGCAAGTTCTGTGTCCTGTGCTCCAGCCATATTATGAAATAGGGACATATTGATGAGAACTTTATCACCACTTATAACATGGATTTATAGGAAAATATATCGTCATTTACATTTCGATGGATTTCCGCAAAGTGATGTGTGTGTCAGTTGGGAACTTTGTGTAACTGGCTATAGGTCAGGTGATCTCTGGACGAGACAGGATTTCAGGGGAGTTGCTAGGGGAGTAAACAGAGTCCCCCGCGGAGGAGTCCGTGTGCACTGACATTTCTCAGCATGATAGTTTGGTATCGGGTCCTGAGCAAAGACTCGAAAGGGCACATCTGAAAGATGCATGACCTGAATCACACCTTGTTTGGACACAAGTGTCATCCTAAACATAGCTAACGGTTCATCCCGATGATGATAGAAA